GCTGAGCCGCGGGCGCCAGGCACTCAGGTGCCCTTACCTTCCCGCCTCCCGGTCCCCGGTCCGCTCGGGCCCGAGGCCACTGTCCTCTTCCTGGTGCCACTGCTCTGCGGACGTGCCTCTCCAACTCCCCTTCGCCCAGGGGCTCCCCACCTAATCCGCGTGGCTCCTGACAGAGGGAAAGAAAATGGCGTCTCCCGGCCCGTGCGCCTCAGTGGTTGAGCGCCGACCTCTGAACCGGAAGGTCACGGTTCATTTCCGGTCGGGGCACATGCCCGGGTGGTGGGCTCCATCCCCTGTGTTTGGTGTGCAGGAGGCAGCCCGGTCGGGGCACATGCCCGGGTGGTGGGCTCGATCCCCTGTGTTTGGTGTGCAGGAGGCAGCTGGTCAGTGACACTCTCATCATTGATGTTTCCCTCTCTCTCCCTCCCCTTCCTCTCTGAAATCAATAAAAAGAGACACCTTTTAAGTGACATCTCATAAAAAAAAAAAGTAAAAGTGCATCCTTTGAATGATGATATGCATAATTCTCCCTGCCCATCTTCTGGTTAACTGCAATGCCTCCTTTTTAAAATGATAAATGTTTCCAGAGACAGCGCCCTAAGACTTCAATCTAAAGCAGATTTCCTTGTTACAACTTTCTTAAAACACCTTACTTCCACTGAGTGAAATGAACAAACATACACAGTAAGATAATCACTTGGGTGAATGCTGGCTCCCTGTCTGTCTGCTCACCAGTTGAGGGAGAGCATGTCTTCGCTCACTGTTGTCTCCCCGTGGGGATACGCTGGTACACAGCAGGCACCCAGTGTAGATTTCCTGAACGATCGATTCGCCTCCACCCCATCAGGGAAACATCTCTTCCCCTTGGTGTCCTTGACCTGACCTTGCTGCCTGGAGTGTGACTTCTGGGTTCCTGACCTTAGCGGGTGTCTGGTTTCCATTGCTGAGAAGGAGGCTGGCTGGCATGCCTCCCTCCCCCACCTCTCTCTGAGCCACAGAAGAACCCTGTTCAAGCCAGTGATGGTCAGGACATCCAAGCTTGGCTGTGCCTGCAACATGCCTGGAGGGGGGTTGGAAGACTCACATTTCAGGTAACACAAGCAGACACCTTTTCTGATAGACCAGTGGTTCTCAACCTTCCTAATGCCGCGACCCTTTAATGCAGTTCCTCATGTTGTGGTGACCCCCAATTTCATTGTGACAAATTGAACATAATTAAAGCATAGTGATTCATCACAAAAACAATATGTAATTATATATGTGTTTTCCGCTGGTCTTAGGCGACCCCTGTGAAAGGGACGTTTGAGCCCCAAAGGGGTCGAGACCCACAGGTTGAGAACCGCTGTGATAGACAGTCTACTTCCTCTTGGGTGTTGGGTGTGTGTGGGGGGGGGGGGGGGGTAGTTTTTAGCCCAGAATTAAATTCTGTTCCCCACACGTATTTTACATTCTGCTTTTATTTCATATGCATAACACGATCATTATTATGCCAACTAAGAAGCCAGCCCCCCTGCAGATGTATTGAAGAGATCTGGTAGCCTTCGAGGCAAATTGCACTTTTTTTGATGTTGCAAAGAATTCCCTAAGGATCAGCGGAAGCAGCTGATTCCGTAAAGTAGCTGAACAACAGAAAGAAGCCAACGATAGCGGGAGACACTGAAGCAGGAGGAGGAAAATCAAATTCACACAGAGATACCCCCTCCGTGAGAAAAAGAGGAAAAGAAAGGCAGAAGCAGAGAAAGGAAGATGAAGGAGAAAAGAGGACCCAGTTGGGCCCCCCCAGAAGTGGCCATGATCAAAGGGAGGGTTTCCATCCAAAACTCCACCTTCTGCGCTCTCAATCCCTGCCCCACACTCAGGTTCAAATCCAGCTGCAGGTACTGCTCCTTCTGATCATAAGCCGGCCACCGAGGCAGGCCAGCTCCGTTAGGGTTCCTGGGAGTGAGAGCAGAAACGGGGGGTTGGAGGGTGTTGGGGGATGGGGGTGAGCTTTTCATCCTCAAGCGCCCGGCTGTGGGGAGGCCCCTGAGGCGTACTTACCCCGTCCGAGCAAAGTTGGCCCAGTATCTCATCATCTTCCTGCTCAGCAACTTCTCCTCCTCGGTGGCTCCTTCTGAGGGAGATAATCACAAAATCCGGCTCCCAGGACGGTCCGCCGGAAGCCGAGGCGCCTCGCATGTGATGAATGCCTTTCACATCCCTCCTCCTGTTTCACTCATTTTGCATTTGCAGGTACTGAGGCTCGGGGCACCTGCAACTTGCCCGAGAAAGCATGGCCTCCGAGTAGTGGCTGAACACACATATTCCCTGGGCACCAATGCTCTTCTGGCCACCCCCCTGAGGCTACCAGTGCCTGGGGGACAGGGACTCTCGCTCTCTCCTCTCTCTAAGGATTGCATTTTTTTTTATTTGAAGGAGTAATGCTCAAATATTATGTTCAAAGCACAAAACCTAAAGTGCAGAAAGAGTATCTAATAAAAATTAGTTTCCCTCCATCTCTTCTCTCCACTGTTACAGGCCTGAGGCAGTGACTGCTACCAGGCTCTTGGGCGCCCTCTGAAGGCCAATGAGGCACGTACAAGGGTTAGGAGGACACATTTTTATACTCGCAGTAGCATAACAGACAGAGATTCTGCATATTCCTTTTTGTTAAAATTCTATCCAGGAGATAGTTCCACAGTGTCGCCTATAAGACTTCCATTTATTATCATTTATTTTTCTATAAATATAGGGTGTCCCCCCAAAAATGTATACACACTGTAATAGCTGGTAGCTCAATTTTGAAAACAAAATATATTTTCATAAACATTGCCTCTATAAATATTCAAAGTGTGTGTATACATTTTCGGGACACCCTACATGTATGTTTATATGCTGTTATATAAGTATATAATTCCTGTATCCAATACTCTATTAATGTATCTTTACATTATTTCTGGACTTTTGCTAGTAAAACCAATGTGTTCGTGAGCAGGTTTATTTTTGCACATGCGGAAGTATAATTGCACGCAAAAAAAAAAACCACCCTAGGAGTTGAATTGCCAGGCTAAAGACCATATGCATTTCAGATTTTCATCGACTTTGCCGTTAATATATGAGGTTGTCTGTTTCCCCACACCTGCCCCAATAATGATGGAAAATGTCTTGTTCTCCCCAATGAAAAATGATTCCTCAGTCAAGACAAGTCCTCAGTCCCCTTGTGGACAGTGAGGTTGAGTGGGTTTTCACGTTTAAAAGCCAGTCACATTTCCTTTCCCACAGACTGTCTGTTTCTATCTGTTACCCAGTTTCTGTTCTCATTGATTTTGGGAGCTCTTTAGAAAACTCAGAATTTAACCCTTTGAAACATACACCATCCTGTTTTTTTCCCGTTTGGAGAGTCTGTGTACCCATCAATAGTCCAGGCTCTGTAGTGGTTGCTGAGTAAAAACAAAAGTGTGCTTGTGAGAATTATTTCATTTCATCCCCATGGCGACCTAGGAGGTGGTTGCTATGATTGGTGTTATAAAGATGAGAATGAACAAATGAAGGGATGAATAAGCCGCCGCACACACATACACTCTATAGGAGCACCTCTGTCCTCGTTGCCAGGAGGCCGGCGGCAACTGGCCCAGAGCCTGCATTGCACAACTGTCTAAAACGAAGTATTTTAGGGATAGTTTCTGTGATCAGTTCCTGTAACTTTTTCTATTGATAACCTCATCTGATTGGCACCAAACAGGTCATAACTTCAGGAATACACGAGTGAACCTCAGCAGTTACAGTCCACAAGCATTTACATGAGAGCACTGGGATCCAGGCCACTTTGGGCTGCGATGATGGAAAAGGAGGTTCTTGCCTTTTAAAACCCTGGGTGGTAGCCCCATGGGGGTTCTGAAAAGGGCAGGGCGGGTGAGACCAGCAGTCAGAGAGATGGAGAAAGCGGTTCTGATTTTTTTCTAATTCAACTGCATGAGTGCCCCCAAGCGCCCGTCCCTTAGGCTTTTAGTACAACGAGAAACACTCATCCAGCCGGCGGTGGCAGCTCTTTCTCATCGTGGTTTCTAAAAGCACCCAGGAAGGGTAGTTCCCAGGGGAAGGTCACGTTTGTAAGCCAGAGAGTAAATAAATAAGTTAAAACTAGTCCTCCAGCACTTGCATTGTGTTGGGGTGGGGAGTCCTGTCTTCTCCCACCTCACCCTCCCACCCCCGTGTTCCTGCAAGACCAGGAGAGCTCCCCTCCCCGCCCCCCCAAACCAGGCGGGTTCCTTACCAAACATGACGACATCCCCCTTCAGGAAGGCACCTCCGAAAACAAAGCGGATTTCATCCGTGTGGTCGGCCTTGACGAAAGCCGGCTTGCTGTCCTTGAAGCAGTGAGGCCGGTGCTGAAACTCATAGAAGTACACAGGTGCACCCGCGTCTGCAGCGATGGAGAGAGAGCCCATGGCAGCGCCCCTGCAGGGGGAGCGGGGCTGGTGCTGCATCCCCACCCCGCTCGTCCAGGATTCCCAAACCTATGGGTGGGGGCAGCCCCCATACAAGGAGCGATGTGAACAAGCTACCTCCCCTCTTCTTTCCTGGAGACTAGCAGTTCCTGCTCCAGAGGCCCTCGCAGCCCTGGTGACAAAGAGCTCGATGCCCGTCCAGGGCAGGCTGCCTGGTCAAGGGTTCTAGTTTTCACAAAAAGCCCTTCACATGGACCCAAGGTCTACCTTCCCGTGACTTCCTGTCATTGACCTGTTCCAGGCCTACAACAAACAGAACGAAGCTATTCCTGCTTCCGAGATGCCCCCTGCACCCCACATTCCTTCACCTCTCTTCTACGAAAGGCCTTTGCGCTCCAACTTCCTCCTCTTTCTCTGAATCATCTTTCTGTTTTCCTCTACTGGATAAGGGTGATCATGCTTACAAAGTCTCCCACTAAAGCCCCAACATCACTAATCACTAGGGAAATTGCCTGTGTTTTGTAGAGTGTTTCCAGCTATTATGAAAAGTGGGGTTGAAGTCTCCAACTATGGATGCACAACTATTTCTCCCTTCAACTCTGTCAGCTATTGCTTTATATATTTTGGGGCTCTGTGGCAAGGTGCCTATGGATTGATAACTGTTATAGCTTCTGGATGAACTCACTCTTCTATCTTTCTATGATGTGCTTCTCTGTCTCTTTTAGTCTGTAACAATTCTCTGTAACAATGTCATCCTAAAGCCTCTTTTGTCTGACATTAAGATAGCCATGCCCGCTCTCTTTTGGTTACTGCTTGCATGGAATACCTTTTTCCATCCTTTCACTTGGAACCTATTTGCATCTTTAGTTTTAAAGTGAGTCTCTTATAGGAAAGGAAAGAACAGAAGGAAGAGAGGAAGGGAAGGGGGAAGGAGGGAAGGAAGGAAGAAAGAAGGGAAGAAGGGAGAAAGGAAGAGGGAGGGAAGAGTGGATGTGTGTCCTCACAAGTAATCTCTTTCTGAATGCTCCAGCCCTCCTTATGCTAAGACATTTGAGAAGACACTTCCAAACAGAAAGTAACCTGGAAGTTGGGCCCCGGAAAATTATGGGGAGGTGCGAGTGTTCTCCATGGCCCTGAAGAAGCAGAAGGAACACAAACAGTAAGAACTGATCAGCATTCCTGAACTCTGAAAGTCAGGGGAACTACACAAGTTGGCCCTCAGGGTTATTCCCCCAACACCCCTGAGAGGCCCCTCTCATCTCAGTGAGGAAACAGAGGGCTGAGCAGGGGGCTGGTCCGCAGGCAGCAGGATCCCTGCCGCCACTGGCCTTGCTGTGCTGTGGCCCCGCCGGGGTGGGGGAGTGGCTCGGGGACTCACCTCTGTGACATCGAGCCGTGATCAGCCCAGGGACCACAAAGAACACATCTCCAAGCAAGTCCAGGAAATTATTTCGTATTTCAAAAATGGACTGCTCGCCGTGGAAATACTCATCCGCCACGAAGTGTAAATGCTGGCTGGGGATGTGCTGCAAAAGATCAGTCACAGGAGGTCCAGGTCAGCGACAACAGCCCACACGTGGAGCACCCGCCTGTGCAGGCATGGTTCCGAGCGCTCTACACGCACCGCCCCATGGAATCCACACAGCGAGCCTGTGGTGCAAATGAGCAAAATCAGTCCCATTTCACAGATGGGGGGACTGAGGCTTGGAGAGGTAAAGTGGTTGGCCCCAAACTGGTGGAACCAGGGTTCTTTCACAAGACCATTCGCATCTAAATCCCAGGCTCTTCAATGCCAGGCACAAAGGAGATGCTCAGTTACTATTTGTTGAATGAATGAAATATTTATAACTGCTATCATAGTCACACCAAAACGAACAGTTGTAACACTCTGTCTCCCAATCTCCCCATATGCAGCAATAGCTAAAGGACAGATGAGGTGGAAGTAAGTACCTATCCCAAGTTGCCTATAGGACAAAGAGTCATCACTGACTACTACCTAACATAAATCCCAGGCTCTTATTCACAGTACACACACCTCTCTGAAATGTTTCAGAAACAGCCACCCCTGGGCAGAGCTGGCTACGCCACTTGTGGGATCCAGTGCCAAGTGAAAATGTTCAATGCCAAGTGAAAAATGGTTCAAAAATTACAAGAATTTCAAGATGGTGACAACAGGACATCCAACCACGTGTAGGACCCTTCTGAGCAAAAGGCCCTTTGGACTACACAGATCCCATGCCCGTGAAGCCAGCCCTGCCCCTGGGACCAGCGCTGCCTCCGGGCCCTCGCTCACACTTTAGTCCCAGCTGTCATCACCAGGCAGCCAAGACTCATCCAACATCCTGTCTGAGCCTTAGCGCCTGCGGCATCCCTGCCTCCAGCCTGGACCACGCTGCAGACACCGGACCCTTTGTCAAATGGACATTGAATCATGTCGCTCTTCTGTCCCCAGCCCCTGGGATGGAACCTTATATGCCTTCCGCTGACCTCTTCACACAGCTCTGCCCCTCCCTGGTTCTCTCGGTTCCACCCGGTGCTCTTAGCCCTGCTCCTCCGTTCGCCAGACAAACCTAACTCAAACTCCAAATCCCTCCCCTGAGCGAGCCAACTGCTCCCTCCAACGGACACCACGGACACCACAGAGCCCTGGGCATCCCTCTGCCCTGATTGGTGCAGCAACGCACGGAAGTGTCCTGTCAGGTTTGTCCATCCCAACAGCCCACAGCTTCCTCAAGTGCAGAGACACGCCTGCGCATCATGGCAGCCCAGTGTTAGGGAAGGTGGGGCACGTGGGCTCTCACTTAACACCTGATCAACGAATAAGTGGGTGAAACGAACCTGGCAGAGAGCACACACTGAATAGATGCGTAAGGACAGACGAAAGGGAGGGAGGAAAGGAGTCCGCCTCTATAACCTCCTGCCCGGCGTGTCTGTGTGCAGGGAGGGAATGAGCGAATGGTTGACTAATGGCCCTCGGGATTGCTAGAACCCAGTCCACAGCCTGGCAGGCATGCAGCGCATAGGGGTCCCATGTCCCAGGTGGGTTTCGGAATCCGAAACATCCTTACCAGGATTGTGTGCAGCAGCTGCAGGGCGAGGGACTTGTTGGAGCCCCTGAGGATCTCAGGAAACTCCTTCTGTGGAGAGAAGCGGGGCGCCTGTGAGCACCTCAGGTCATCGGAAGGGAAGCTGGTCTCTGTGGGGGTGCAGACGCCCGCCTTCCAGAGGGGAGGCTGGGAAAAGCCGTGACCCTTCCAGCCCCCGGGGGCCATGTGTAGCAGTAGCTCCCGTGCATCGGTTAAGCGACAGTTTCTCTTCTCATTTGATAAAAGACAGCCATTCCGTTACACCTGTAGTCTTGTGGGACCCCGGTGGCTGCCCTGTGGCAAGGCCACGTTATGGGCTGTGTGTGTGTCTCCCACAGATTCCTATGTGGAAGCCCTAACCCCAGGACCTCATGATGTGTCTCTGTGAGAAGACAGGGTTTTAAAAGAGGTGATGAAGTCAAAATGAGGATGTTATCTGGGCCCTAATCCAATTTGACTGATGTCCTCAGAGAAGAGGGAATTGGTGCCTGGCTGGTGTGGCTCAGTGGTTGAGCATTGACCTATGAACCAGGAGGTCATGGAGGCGTGCGGAAACCTGAATCCATATGATTTGTTCACTGTTGCCTGCTCGGGTTTTATCCGAGCTCAGAGCACACCGTACGTGCTCAGTTCATTCTCGTGGGATGAATGAAAGGAGTCGATGATTTTGCAGCTTGCACCGGTGCACCAGCTTAGAGAGCATTCTTGGACATCCAAATGCCAGAACAGGAAGGTGTCATGGATTTCAATACCTTTGAAGTAGGAACTATGCTTCTTTGAAACGAGCATTTGTGGTGTTTTGAACAGAGCTCAAGCGGATCCCATTGTCTCTTAGTGTTTTACACAGAGTTGTTCCTTTCACCGCAAACCTAACGAGGAACAGGGCGGACACCGGCCTTGGCTGACCCCAATCCCCAGTTACCTTCCTTCAGAGAGAGGAAGGACGACCGCTCTGTGCTCGGCGGGTGGGTTCCATCCCTCACAACGCGTGTGCCGTCCGTGGGAGTGACCGGCTGTGGGAGCAAACCCCGGCCCCTCTGTGGAGGGAGCGACAGGAGGCAGAGTCGGGATTCTTACCATGGGCAGCAGGAAGCCACACTCGTGGTTATTGACCCCGATGATAGAAGGAACTGAGCGGAACGTTTTTTTAATCAGCAGTTCTAGAGGCTCGTCAGGAAAGAAAAAACCATCAACCATTCTCGTGAAAGACTTGGCGACCTGAAATGAGAAAGGTCGGAAGCTGTCTCTGTTTGTAAAATCTGCTGGCCCCAAACCAACCCACCCTGAGCCCACCCACTCTAGCAAAATGTGGTAGGAAAGGGAAATGAAGCCAGTCTTGGTCCATCCCCATACATCCGGCTGCCTGGTCAAGGGGGTCAGCTTCTCTGTGCCTTAGTTTCCTCATCTGCAAATAAGGGGTAATAATAGCATCCACGTAAGAAAAGGGTAGCCTAGCCCAGTGGTTCTCAAAGCCTGGCTCCCAGCAGCATCAGTGTTACCTGCGAACTTGTTAGAAATGCAAATTCCCTACTGAATGCAAGCTCTGGGAGTACAGTCCAGCCAACTTTTTAAAAATAAACCCTGCAGCTCAGCTGGCGTGGCTCAGGGGTTGGGCGTCGACCTAGGAACCAGGAGGTCACGGTTCGATTCTCAGGCAGGGCACGTGCCCAGGTTTCGGGCTTGATCCCCACTAGATGGTGATCCCCACTAGATGGCGAGCAGGAGGCAGCCAATCAATGATTCTCTCTCATCATTGATGTTTCTATCTCTCCCTTCCTCTCGGAAATCAATAAACGTATATATTTTTAAAATGACCTACGGTCCACGTTTTTACAGCCATTACCACGAATCCCCAGCCCCCATAGTTTTCCAAGTCCCAAGTCAAAATAAATAAGAGCCGTCAGGTTTGTCCACCATTCCATTCAAAGGGCAGCCCTGCCCCAGACCATTCACCTGGCCGATGCCCAGCAGCTCCTGGGAGGACTTTGCCCTCAGGCACCGCAGCAGGGCCTCGGAGTTGTCCGCTCTGCAGCCGCAGATATTTGCAATCATCTGCAACTGGTGGCAGAAAAGGACCAGGTTAGAGCACAGTACGGACAGCCTCTGGGAAAATGAAACGTGGAAACAGTCCTCAGTTCAGTCCCAGGCCCGTCCTTCCTATACGACGTCCAGCCTCCTGGCCCTCCCCATTCTCATGGAATGGACACAGTGAGGGCAGGCTGGCCCCGGGCCATCCTGACGTTCTCGCCTGACCCTCCTCGTCATCTTTAGCAAGTGCAGGAGCTGGGAGTGAGGATCTGTCAGTCTGTGGCCATGGAACTGAGTCAGGATTCCTGGTCATGGCGGGACCTGTGATGTCACAGACCTATGATGTTGGCTCCATTGGCACTAGGCCCCACAGAGCCCAGAAGCCCCACTCTGGGGTGCCACGTGGAGTCAGGAGCCCCCCAAGGGAGAGGAGCAGCTCTGCAAGGTCTGTTGAGGCCTGAGTCCAGCTCAGAGTCTCAGCTGGTCAGCTCTGCTCCAGCCTCACCCTCACCCTCACCCCCAGCCTGGAATGCCCTGACGTCCTTTTTTCCTGTCTCACTCTTTAAGACCCAAGTCCTACCTTCTCTCGGATGTCCTTTCAGACATGGCAGTCCCTAGGATTCCCCTCCTCCTCCGATCTCCCGTCACCCCAAGGGCCCCCACCTACCTAGCCCTTTGCTAAACACCTTCTTGCCCTATCACTGAACTTTCCACGTGTGTAGAATGCGCCCCCTGAAAGTAGTGCCCTTAGTCTTCTGGGATCACAGATGCTCTGAGAATCCAATGGAAGCCCCAGCCCCTCCCCCTGGGAAAATGCACAAACATATATCGTAAGCGTTTGAGGACCACCTCCAAACATACCCATGGGTTGCAGGCTTGAAATCCTTATCATAAAAATGATTATAGTCTATACCTTCTCCACTTATAAACCTACAGGTCCCAACACAGAGCGGGGAAGCAATGGGCACTCACTATGTGTGTGGTGGATGAATGCATACACACCACACCGCACACACTGACACCAGCCTGATATATCACATTACCAAACTCAATTTTCCGTCTGCAGTGACCGTGTTTTTGCAATATTATGACTCTGTTTTTGCTCTCGGTGTATGTTGTTACCTTCTATAAGGTGTTTAAGGAAATGCACCACTAACATGAATGATACCCAGGAGATGGCTCCGTAGCCCATTGTTTCATTAATATTCATTCAATGAATCAGCTAATTCGTGAACTCATTCCTCGAGTAAACGTGTAGAGTTGCCTAACATACACCAGACATTATGCTGGGGCATGGAAGAGACAGGGGCCTCGGTCTCCAGGTGCTTACTGACCGGCAGAATGCAAAGACGAGATGACAGATGACGAACATCTGGGACATACGCCTCCCCTCCCCCTCCCAATCTCCTGCCAGATAATATTCACAAGTCAGTGTTATTTCCTACGGAGCTGTCAACAGCATCAGAATCTCACCAGAGCACTCTAGATGGAATAGAGTAGGTACAGGGGACTAAGATATATATCACAGCAAAGATTGATGGATACAATGTGAGAACTGTCACATGCACATGCACACACACACATGCACACCAGCAGCACTGCACTGTGCAGCTGGACCCATTTCCTACGGAACCAGGCCTTCCATGGAGCAACACGTTTCACCTCAAGTCGGCGTCAGATTCTCTGGTCACGGTCAGTCAGGCCAAGCACATGGTCTGCCGACACCTGACCAAGGAGAGGAAGCCGGAGAGGTGTGCACATCTACCTACATCCTCATTCCGCTTTTCCTCCGGGGCCTTCAGGTAGGGGAGGATGGCCACCCCGCTCTCCATGATGGCTTTGTGGAATAAGTCCTGGGCCAGCGGGGACAGGATCTGAGAGAGAGAACACAGGAGACCCCACAAAAGTTACCCAGGGGCTTCCCACCCATCACACACACCACCCACCCTTCCTGTAAGGAAAACTTCCCAGGAAGCCTGCTTTAGAGAGCTAACCTTAGAGAAGGAAAAGTCCTGGTTTGGGGATTCAAGGACTAGTTGCAAAGGTTTGGGCAAGTTAAATAAACTCTCTGAGCCCCATGTTCCTCGTGAACTTTGAGGGTGAGCATTCTGGTATGTGGGTGCTAGCCCCTTTACTTCCCGATGGGGCAACCTCAGGCAAGTTGCTGAATATTTCTAAGCATCCATTTACTCTCTTATAAAACTGCAGTAAAAACTGAGCCCACTTGCCCCAACTGGTCTGGCTCAGTGGATAGAGCGGCGGCCTGCGGACTGAAGGGTCCCGGGTTCGATTCCGGTCAAGGGCACATGCGGGGTTGTGGGCTTGATCCCCAGTAGGGGGCTTGTAGGAAGCAGCCAATCAATGATTCTCTCTCATGATTGATGTTTCTCTCTCTCCCTTTCCCTTCCTCTCTAAAATCAATAAAAAATATATTGAATAAAAAAATTAAGCCCATGTCAAACTTGTCTTGAGGAGCAGGAGAAGTGATGAATACAGAAGGCTTCGCACAGCGCTTGCTTAAGTAATAAGCACTCATGAATAGTGGCTGCTACCACATATGAAAGTTAGTATAATCCACCGTATAAGGTTATACGGAAGGTAAAGAATACCTTGTATATTGTCAAATGTTATACAGCAGAAGCTTAACCCACCTCCATGTGACTGACTTCTGTGGCTAACATGTTACCTGATGCCCGGAAGTACTGACCGCTCAGAACACAGAGCCCAGAACCGTATCCCGGCCCCTCTGCACATCTCTCTTCCCATCAATTTCTTGCCAGGAGCCAGGCGTGTCTGCTTCCAAATCTGCTTTGTCAGTTACACTTGCCATTGTCATTACATAACCAGTGAACTATCTTGGGAACCAATGGATGTGTGTGTGTAAAAAGAAAACAAAATGATGCTTTTGGGGGGGTAACTTGATAGAGGTAGGTAGCTAAATAACATGGCTATCAAATGAGGGGAGCACAAGATAAGAGTAAACCACGTGAGGGGATAGAATGCTCCATAAGAGGGCTGCATCCACAGATTTCTTCGCAGCATCTTTTTTTAAAAAATATATTTTATTGATTTTTTTTACAGAGAGGAAGGGAGAGGGATAGAGAGTTAGAAACATCGATGAGAAACATCGATCAGCTGCCTCCTGCACACTCCCTACTGGGGATGTGCCCGAAACCAGGGTACATGCCCTTGACAGGAATCGAAACTGGGACCCTTGAGTCCGCAGGCTGACGCTCTATCCACTGAGCCAAACCGGTTAGGGCACTTCGCAGCATCTTGAAGTTGCTGCTCACCGTAAGGACACTGAGCCCCCAATGTAAGGGCAATGGATCCTGTGGGGGGGGGGGGGTTATGCAGGAGAGCCTTACTGGAACTCCAGTCAGCAGACTGACTCTGGAAAGTAAAACCCCACATCAAACTACTGGCGAAGGAGGGTACCTTTTATGTTTTAAGTGAAAATAAAATGTTTACATGCATCCTTTGCTATTTGATGCTTTTAGCTGAGCTTCTCTATTCAATGATGACCAGTCCTGATAACTGGATGCCAGGCCTTCAACTGTACACATACAAATGCGTTTTCCTCAAACTGTCACTCACTATGTGATCTTGGATGATTCATGTAAACGCTTCGACGACAGCTCTCGTCCTTAAAACGAGACGGAGCCCCTGACTCACGGTGTGAGGCTCCAGGGAGACCGTGTGTCTGAAAGCGTTTGTTCAACATGAAGCACCAATCAGATGTACGTGGTTCATCATCCTCTTTTTTGTAACCTCCCCCACCGAAGAGAACTCACAAGGCTGGACACACTTATGGCTCCCGCCGACTCGCCGAAGATGGTCACGGAGCGTGGGTCCCCACCAAAGAACTCGATGTTCTCCTGGACCCAGGTCAGGGCGGCCAGCTGGTCCATGAAGGCCCAGTTCCCCGGCGCGTGCTTGTCCCCTGTGCTGGGGGCAAGAGGCGGAATGAGCATCCTGAGTGGGCCACTGTCTACCTCCCGAAGCCCAGGGAGCAGGCGGCCGAGGCTGTGGACAGGTGTCAGGGCATCACCACTCCCTCCGGGGAAGGGCTGAGAAACAGACCTGGGGCAGTGGGGAGCACCAGGCTTGGCTCTCTCCCTCTGCTGGGGTTTTGGTTTGAGAGTCTGAGGAGAGTGACACACCCCAGAAAAATGCACAGACAATACAGATGCAATTTCAGGGTATTCACAGGCTCCCCTGAATCCATGGGTTCCAGAAGTGTCCTGCTCCTGAGAGTTGGTCTGCACCAGGGAGTGCCTCTGCTGGGGTTTTGGTTTGAGAGTCTGAGGAGAGTTACACACCCCTGAAAAATGCACAATGTCGTAAGTGCAATTTCAGGGTATGCACAGGCTCCCCTGAATCCATGGATTCCAGAAGAGTCCTGCTCCTGAGAGTTGGTCTGCACCGGGTAGCAAGACCTGCCTGGGCACAGAGGTTCCCGTGAATGACTAAGTGAATACTAACAATAATAACAGTGGCGGCAGCACTAGGCACGACACTGTCCTAAGGGCTTTACGGCCGATGCTCCCGTAATCCTCCAAACCTGTGAGGTAGGTGGTGCTGGTCTTTCTCTGTCTGCCCCTCTGAGTTTTATCCCCACCTTCTCTACCCTCCTAAAAGGCTGACCTCTATGTGTGCGGTCAGTGGGAGGCAAGGAGCAGGGGCTGAGGGTGGGATATCAAGAGACCAGTATGTTTATGTTTAATACGCCACTCGAGGCCCCCGCTGCTGCGAAGTGGTTTGGGCAGAGGCTGCATTTTTCTGAGGCGTCGCTCACATGAATTCCCTTCAATGAAACCTTCGAACAAGCCCTAAGGATACTGCTGGATACATCAGCTCCTTCTCACAGACAGGGAATCAGGACACAGAGAGAGGAAATCCCTTGCCCAGGACCTAAAATGCTGCAGATTTGGGATTCAAACCCAATGAGTCTGACCCCAGAGTCCGTGGTCCTGGCCATGGCCCCATGCTGCGTGCAGCTCATGCAGAGAACATGCTTCCCAGGACGGGTGGACAGCTAATGGGATGGGAAGACAATGCAATGGAGTGACTATTCTCAGGTCAGCATTTGAGCCTTGAGATGGGGCCCTATGTCAGGGACGACTAATGGCTCACACACTCTGTGTCCTTGACTTCCAGGGCTACGTTGCCCCTCTCCCTTGTATTGGGCATGGCCATGTGACTGAGTTCTGCCAATGGTGTGTAAACAGCAGTGATGATCACCACTTCCAGGCTGACCCAGAAAGACCGCCCTCCTCTAATCTCTTTCTTCACCTGCTGGCCAAATGCAGAGCCACAAGTGGAAGGAGCCTGGGTCCCTGATTGACCATGTGGAAGGATGTCTGTCAGTTAGGAACCCTCAATTAGATTTTACTGAAGTGAGAAAAAATGTTTATTTCTCTAAGCCACTAATAGGTGGGGGGTTATCTGTCATAGTTGCTAAAATTACCTAATAATCTGGTCCAAATTTGTTCAATGTCTTTGAAGGCTCCTCCCTTAGGATGCTGGGCACTGAATCCCCTATGGCTGCTGCACAGCTGCCCCTTGGGGACCAGGGGTGTCAATCATTTGGGGGTACTCACTTGAAGAAGCCAAACATTCCTAGCCGGTACTGGGTAGTCACAACCAGCACATCCTCGTAGGCAGCGAGGGCGGACCCATCGAAGATGGAGGCTGAGCCAGTCTGGAAGGCACCCCCCGGAAGCCACACCATGACCTAAGGAGAGGAGAGGAACTTTCCGGTCAGCCTGTCGAGCATTCCGACCCCCTCCCTGTGAATGCTGGGTCCTTCTTTCTTTACGAAAATGCAAATGTCTCATTTTCCTTTCTAAAGAGCATCCGAGGTTTTGTATTTAGAAGAAGGCTCAGGGTGAAGCAGGTGGGCTCCAGCATCCGAGTGCCTGAGTTTAAGTCTGAGCTCTGCCACTGACCAGCTGTGTGGCCTTAGACAGATTACTTAGCCTCTCTGAGCCTCATTTTCCTCATCTGTAGGATGTGAAGCATCAAAGTATTTCAGTTATGAGGCTATTATGAGGATGAAACAAGATTCTGCATCTGAGGTTCCTAGAACAATGTTGGCACACTCCAAGTGCTCGGAAAGTATTAACTAAATATTGAACTTGTGACCCACAGGAAGATGGAAATCATTGTAAGCCATGTATGGAAGCAAAAGCAGCTTAAGCTTTTTAATCTAAGGCTTTTGTCTACCTGCAAAGAGAAGAGAGAAAAAAAGGGAAGAGAAGTGTGGAGACTTTACTAGGTTGATTAGAAAAACTGGGACTGGGGAACACAAATCATCATTCAAATGCTATTATCACTATTTATACTTAATAATAAATGCCTTCCATTCTCCATTTTAAAGGTCCTATTAGGGACTGCCACCCTTGGGGCAGGAAGAGAGAAGGAAGCCACTGAGGAAAAAGGAGAACTGGATAAAGCATTGGCTTTGACACAGAATCTGCCACTGACTGGGGTAGAGCATGGAGCAAGGCGCTTATGCTCTCTCTCCGTGCCTCTTCTTCGTCATCTGTAGAATGGGTTCAATAATCCTGACCCTTTGGGTTACTGTGGGGGGCTCGATGAGATGATGTACTGTGCCTAGCACACGTCAGCAAGCAATAGATGTTGCTGTTATCGTGCAACACAGCAAGTCTCTCATTGCACTGACATCGGGGAGAAAAGATGACGGGAGGGTGTGGTTAAAAATTAGACTGCACCTTTTGTACTCACTTACACAGGGATCCTTCACATTCTTAAGTGGCATGCTCCGCGGTATTACCTGACTGACTTCATTGCAAACAGAAAAATTCGTGAAGGCGATTCTTTTCTTTAACGGAAGGATTTTTCAAGCAAACAAGCAAACACAAAAATAATCAGAGTCCTTTTAAGCAGTGCCTTCTCTAACTGTTTACAGGCCGTTAAATACTCAACAGAGGGGAAAGCACAACACAACATAAAAATCAAAGGTCAAGTCACTGCCAACAAAGAAGCGAAAAGGAGATAAAGTGAATACGTCATTCAAATGACTTTTGAAGGAAGTTATTGACCTGCCAATGATTACATTTCCATTTTTACCCAATAGGAGGCTGGGGCTGATTCCAGACCCCCAGCCACTCTGCCAGGGTCCCAGCCCAAGGACCTGCCCCCAGCACGGCAGACAGCCTTACCGGGAACTTGGAGCCGGTGTCGGCACGGGCTGGTGCATAGATGTTAAGGTACAGGCAGTCTTCCGACACTCCGAATTCGGGGTAGTGCACCCGGAGAATGTGTTGATTTGAGAACAGCCACTCTGAGTTCTGGAAGCACCTTGGAAAGACGAGGAGAAACCCCCGGAGTCGCTGTCAGCAAACTTGCCTGGGAGGGGCCAGTTCTTGTCTCCTGGGCCTGAGCAGAAGATGCGTATGGGGGCTTTTGGTACCCCGTTCATCGTGCCCCCTCCACCCAGTGGCACAAATGAACAAACCATGATTCTCTTTGATCTGGTTCCCAGGAGGGAAAGCACATTGTGTATAATAATTGTACCATTAACCCCCAGCACCCACCATCATAATCCAGGCACACGCATAAAGACCCCGGCTGGCTCAACAATTCCCCCAACTGTAGAGGTTAGGACACTGGGTTGCAAATCAAGAGCTTGGCTCTGGCAGCCCCCTCTTCTGACCCCAGAAGAACAAAAGGACTTTTCCAGGCCTCTCCGCCAGGAACCAACTGAGACAGGTTGGCAGAGAGAATCCTGCACCCAGGCCTTTGCTCAAGCTGGTGGTCCCTCTGGCTAGACTGCTGTCTTCCTCTGTTTGCTCATGTTCTTCCCTTTCTTTCAGATTCAGTCTAAATGCTACCTCCTCCAAGAAGCCTTCTGAGATTTCTCCAGATAGACCATAGGTATCTTTGGAAACACCTACATATTTTGCGTTTTTTTTACTAGAACTTCTCCTATAGACTTGTATATGAGTGTAATCATAGTCCCAGCTCAACTGTGAGCAGCTAGAAGCCTAGGGCTCTGTATTAGTCACCTAAGTACCTCAGAGCCCCCATCACCAAGCCTGACACACAGTAAGATCGAATGAGATTATGTATGTGAATATTTCTACAAAGTGCTCAATCACTTTAATTTCGTGGTAGAATAGTATACAGGTTTGCTGCAAATCTACCCCCTGACAAGTTTTTATGCCCCCTTTCCCCTTTGTAAGTTGTTTATCAGAAATCGAGGCTACAGGCTCCCAAGAAAGCCATCCCTGACCTCTCCTCAGAGCTAGGCTAAGTGGTTCTCTTTGATTCCTCAGCACCTTCTCCGATCCCCTATGGTGGCCCCTGTCACTCTGTATTTTAATTGTCATTGCTGCGTATGTCCCCACCACCACTACCAGTCTGCAGGTTCCTGAGGGCAGCTATGTCTAACCCATGGTGGTGTCATCCAGGGCCTAAGGGAATCTAACTATTGATATGAGCTGAATGAATGAATGAATGAATGAATGAACGAACAGATGAGTGTCCGCTTCGTGTCCTCTGTCCCTGGGCTACATGGGGTCTTCTGTGGCTTAGGGAGCTTCCTGGCACCAGGGCACTCCTTTGGCCTGTGAAAGCAATGCCAGGAATGTGACCAACCTGAGGACTTGACAAAATTTGACAGTCAGAAGATTCTTGGGGATTTCCAAGTCTCAGCTCCCACCTCATGCGTGAGGCCCCTCCACCATTCCCCAGGAAACTGGTTGCCTTCCTAAGCTTGAAAACTTGCAGTGACTGGGAGCTCCTTACCCCCCAGTCCCTCTGTGTCACAGAGACACACTCGTGCCATCATTCCACAGGGAGTTATGGATTTTCCCCTGTGGGCCAGGCTCTGCATGGGCACGGTGTTGACTGCTAGCACTAACATCCCTTTAGCAGTGGTTCTCAACCTTCTGGCCCTTTAAATACAGTTCCTCATGTTGTGCCCCAACCATAAAATTATTTTCGTTGCTACTTCATCACTGTCATGTTGCTACTGTTATGAATCGTCATGTAAATATCTGATATGCAGGATGGTCTTAGGCGACCCCTGTGAAAGGGTCGTTCGACCGCCAAAGGGGTTGCGACCCACAGGTTGAGAACCGCTGCTTTAGTGTGATTCTTCACTCTACAGCCCTTATCCAGTCTGGCCAAGGAGACCAGGCCTGGCTGACCGTCCTTCCAATCAGTAAGCCCATCACAGTGGCTCCCAAACCTGATCGAACTCAGAATCCTCGGAGAGCTTTCAGACAATCCAGTTTTCTAGGTCTGAAGATTCCAATTCAGGAAGTTTGGACGGGAGCTCAGGGGATCTGCATGTTCTGAACGGTGCCATGTGGTCACGGAAGCCACTTCTGTAGCCCTCTCCTCCTCCCCCCCGATGCTCCCCCCACTCATGGGGCTGCATGTCCTTCATTCATTCTCCCTCAATGCCCTGCCCCCACTCCCAGGTTGCAGGCCACCCATGGGATCAAGCCCGGTCTTACAAATTAGGGTAGGATGTGGCATTTCGGATGCCATTCCAGGGCGACGCAGGCTTTGGGTTTGTAAATCGCAGGGATCCTAGCGGGGGTGCAGCGTAGGGGACCCCGAGGAACACATTCACAGGCATGGTGCTTCCCAACACAGTGGCTTGCTTCCCCCGGACCCAGCCCAGCCTGGTGCTCCTGGTGGGTCCATCTCCAGCTGGCCCTGAGGGAACACACACGGGGAGGAATCAGGAGCTGGCTGGGAAGAGGCCAGGAATAAGCCCAACTCAGAGCTCCCCCAGGTGGGGGCGCTCTTTCTGGGCCCAGAAGCTGTGCCACGGGAAGTATCTGGATTCCTTCTCCAGGAACCCATGTCCATGGCCTCCTTCAAAATTGCCTTAGAAGTCACCTGTATCAGAGCACAAACTTAGTCTCGTCTGGGAACACGGCACCAAGCCACAACATGCCCCCTGGTTACCGTGGAAACCCTTCTCCCTTCTGTGCCCAGAAGCCTCCCTTCCCACGGAGGTGACGATACACACCAGGCCCTGTAGAGCCTAGGACTGCATGGAGCCACCGGGCCCTGAGTCTCCCACACATCTGTCATTTTCATACCCGCCAGCACAACTGCCTGTGCATCACCCACCTATAGGACGACCAGCATTTTGCTTTTCTTCAAGTGAAATCTAAATGAACTTTTCATATTGACCAAGAGGAGTCTTAAGCAATCACATCTACGCAGTGGTGGTTTTGCTGAGTTCGGTGTATGCTTTCGAATAAAGTAAATATTCAGCAATGAAAATAAAAAAATCCTCACGCGGATGCCACCTGAAATCAGCCTGTCTGCCTCCAGGGGTCCGAGGGTGAGACGTCTGAGACCGAGAGCGTGGGCTTCTCGGTTGCCACATAGAATGTGGAGCCTTCAGAGGTCAGCAGCCCGGCGACTGAGTTAGTGGGACCCAGGAGTGCTGGTGCTACCCCGGCCAATGTCATTTCAATAGTAACATTAAAATGGGCAGCCAGCACCACAAAAGCACAGGCTCTGTCCCAGGACAGAGGGCTCTCCCAGCACCCCCACAGGGTGTGAGCAACTCAAGGGCAGGACCGGGGGACTTCTGTGCTCTACCGTGTGCCCCAGAAAGAGACCCGGGCCCTGGGGCTTTCCACAACCTGACCAGGACATTGGCCAGGTGCCCTGAGGTGACTACACAGCCCGCCGTGGGCCCTCAGAGACCCCTGAGCAGTAACTGCATTTCCACCAGTGGACAATCCTCCGAATACGGAAATCCCCCTCCTACCTCACCTTCTGAGAGCCCTTCTCTCCCACTGGGTGTCTCACCCTCGGTGGCAGCTACAAGGACCCAAACAGCCCAGATCAGGGTCTGGCCTGGGTGCACCCACTCTCCCCTCATCTGGCTGGCCCGCCTGCACGCCCTGGACATCCACGGCTGCTGCTGGCCTCAGAGAGCTTCCGTCAGAGACAAGAAAGAGCCTCCTGTTAGCAGGCAAATGTTGAGCAGGGCAGACACAGGTCACAGGATTGGTGAAGCATAGCATCGGGCCAAGATTCAATAAAGGACTTGGCCAAGCAAGACTTTCCTGTTCTGATTTACATAAACAGCTGAAGACTGGGCCTTGATCTGGGGAAAAGTAATTTGTTAGGCTTCGGGCTCACAGAAGAGTAGAAGTAGATTTGGGGTCAGGTAAGCCAGAGACCTCAACTCAGACCTCAGATTCAGGGTCTGGGAAGGCAGCAAACAAGCAGTGAATGCAGCTGGTCAGGAGAGCAATAGGGAGGGGTGGGGACTGTGGAAAACTGGACCACACATGCTCCGTCTAACGGGGCAGTGACTTCTCAACCTCAGGAAACATTTGTTTTGTGACAATGTTGGTAGGCCACACCGGAAGTATACAATATTACTCGATTTTTAAATGTGGCCTCAATTGTTTAAAAAAACAAAACAACCATAATGTGAGCCCAATGCACCATTTCTACTGGCTTGAGTTGTGTCATGGGTAAAGCCAGCAATTCTGATCCAGACCCAGGCCCTCCAGTGTAAACATGAGGAGGCTCTGCAGGGACCGGCCCTCAGCACTCTGGGTCCTCACTGCTGTCCTCTTTTTGTCACAAGGCCATGCTCTGAGACCCAGCAGGTGGGTCATGGCAGAAGGCCCAGCATGGGGCTTCCCAGCTGTTTGGGGCGGGGCTGCTGGGATCAGAATTATCTGGCGCACTTGCTGAAAAGGCATCCTTCTGCCCCACCCTCAGAGACGTTGGGACAGTATCAATAGTGGCTTCGGGAAGCATCAATCTAACACACGGGAGGTTTCCCAGGGTAGTCACTTCCTGAGAGAGGTGGGGTAGGCACAAGCAGGTATTAAGTGCCTGCTGGATACAGACCTGCAGCTTCACAGTTTGTCCCATTCCCACTATTAACTGGACCAGCAATGTGCTTGAGATTTCCAAAGCAATCGTTACGTATCTCATGCCGTGAGGGTCGTGTTTTGACCTCACCTCCTAGGACCCTGATGTTCTCATCAGTAGTCACACCAGTGGCCTGGATGGCCCGTGAGAGGCACAGACCTTTGATGGGTTCTCTCTGTTCTCCCCGATTGCGCTCCTGACACCCCGAGGGGGAAACCAGAACGAGAGGACCTCAGCCCAAGGCCTGGCTCTAAAATACCCTCATCTACGCCGGCTGGTGGGCAGTGCAGATCGAAGCCCACTTTCCGATTCTCACAGGAGAGGCTAAAGGAAACCTGAAGGCATCGGGGCAATGACAGTGACCTCGGGGTGGAGAGCAGACTCGGTCTGTGACATGCGTGTCACATGAAAATGCTTCTCCTCATCAA